GCACTAAGCACACTGTAAGAAAACGCACAAGAGAGAGAAGATGGCAGCACAACTATGGAGATCACTAATCCAGGGCTCGAACTTACGCAACCACTTCAGGAAAAGCAGCATTTTCCTCTTCCAGCTGCAGTTCTTTTGCCAGCTGTTCACTCATTACATCAGCAAGAGAACATGATATTGATGTTGTGTTAGGGGCTCCCCACGGACACTGTAAATAAACATTTTATTAAAATCAGCACGATTTGTAAAGTGACAACACAATAGTCAGGATAATTAGCTATCGCTGGCACCAAAATAAGCTCATGTAATCTTGTCTTCTACAGATACTTAGGGAACTGGTGTATTACTCAAAGAGTAGTTTCATAACTCAGTAGGGAGAACTGGGGCTGAAAATCTGTTGGTAGTCACTAATCGGGGTAGGAAACAGTTTGTCGGTACTCTCTGAAGACGGGGTAAAGCCTTCTGAGAAAGTTTGCTTACAAGTGTACACACTTTTACATCTATGTAAAACTTCTCTTGGAATAACACAACCGTAATAGCTTATGCACAGCTTCCTCCCCCGTTTTTAGGGCCCTGAAAACACAGCCATCATAAAACATCCCCTCCAAACTGCAGAAGCACACACATAACCTCGCTGGGGGAGGCGGCGGCTGGGAAGTGACCAATCCAACCAAGCTTGTGACTCACTGCCTACCGCCGCGATAACCAAGCTCGCTTAGCTCCAATTCCCTGCTCGCCAGCAGAGCTTGGAGAGAAGCAACGCATTTATCAGGCTGCCACAGCAGCCCTCTCCAGCAAAGAGATAATTGCTGGTAGCAGCAAGAACGCCATTCCCCGTCCATCGCTGCTCGGGTGGCTCTGCCAAGTGACCGTGACCCTGGCGGTGCTCACACCGCCCCGCAGCGCCCTCTCCACGGCCTCTGTTCTCCTCCTCCTTCACCACCTCCCCGGAGCCCGGACAGCCGCCCCGCTGCGGCCCCGGGCTGCCGGCACAGCGCTCACCTTGCTCTGCCAGGCGGGGCCCGGACCGGCGTCGGGGGCGGCGGCGGCGACTCCCACCGAGTCCATGGGGCACACAGGGGCGGGCGGGGAGCGGCAGGAACGGGGTCTCTCTTCGGGGCAGCGACGCTCCGACTGCGAAACCTTCCGGGTCCTTCCCGGTCCTCCTCGGCCGTCACGGGCCGTCAGGCGGCCCATTGGCCGCCGGCTCGGGCATCGCCCGCCTTTCCTGTGATGTCAGCGGGGCGGCCGCGGCGCGCTGGCGGCGTGCGGAGCTCTCGGTAGGGCCGGCCCGTGGTTCCGGCACCTCGCCTCGCCCTGCCCCGTCAGGCGGCCCCGGAGGGCCGAGGGACAGCGCCGGGCAGCGGAGCTGGGCTGCCCGCAAAGCGAACGGGGAGGAATTAAAGAGCTGATGTTTGTTTTTATCTCTGGAAGTAACCGAGGGAACCGTGGAAAAAAGCCAAACCAAACCATGAGCGAACGGCGAAACAAATGGATGGAGTCCAGAGAAGGGCAACGAAGCTGGGGAAGGGTCTGGAGCGCAAGTCCTGTGAGGAGAGACTGAGGGAGCTGGGGTTGTTCAGCCTGGAGAAGAGAAGGCTCAGGGGAGACCTCATCACTCTCTACAACTACCTGAACGAAGGTTGTAGCCAGATGGGGGTCGGTCTCTTCTCCCAGGCAGCAAGTGACAGGACAAGAGGACATAGTCTTAAGCTGCACCAGGGAGACTTAGGTTGGACATTGGGAACAATTTCTTCCCAGAAAGGGTGATTAGATATTGGAATGGGCTGCTGAGGGAGGTGGTGGAGTCACCATCCCTGGAGGTGCTTAAGGAAAGACTGGATGTGGCACTTAGTGCCATGGTCTAGTTGACATGGTGGTGTTGGGTCATCAGGTTGATTCAGTGATCTCAGAGGTCTTTTGCAACCTAATTGATTCTGTGAAATTAAATAGGCGATGTTTGTTTTTATCTGAAGTAACAGAGGGAATGGAAAAAAAAACCCCAAAGCAAACCATAAGCAAACAGTTTAATCCCAATCCCATACCTCATGGTAAATACAAAATTAAATATTTTGTATGTGACCTACCACCTCTTACACCTCAATTTTATACATAATATTTTTCTGGAAAATAGTATTGTGATTTAAATGCCCTATTTCCAGGACAGGGGCAACAGAATGGCATTTTGCAACAACACAGATGCTGTCTAGGTCTGCTTGGGCAAATTTCCCAACAAGAAGGAAACAATGCCTAGAACCCTCAGGCCTGGCTCACCTCCAGCTGTTGAAGGTATCTATCAACAGTTGTAGACAAAAGTGTCATCACAATTGCCATCAATAACCTGAAAAACAGCCTAGCAAAGTTGGCTGGCTCCAAGAGCAGAAGTGGTAAGGGATTGCATAGCTCCTGTGGCATCTCCCAGCCTGCTCAAAGTTCTGGGTTACACATTTAGCAAAGCCCATTCTGCTAGGCAGGCCCAGCAAAAGCCACTCTCATCAACTCTCAGGCATGCAAGAATCAGCTTCATCGGCCAAAGTTCATCTAATTTGTCTCTAGCAACCTGCAGTGACGTAACACAGTGCAATATCCCAAGACAATTTGTTCCAGTGTTCATTATTGCAGGAAATCCCCGACTAAAAACCAAACCATTTGGAAAGTGGCAGGGATCCAGGTTGTAATGTACAATCTGCAGGTACGACACAAGCTTGTGCCATGGAGACATTATAGTGTCATAATATCATTTAGGTTGGAAAAGACATTTAAGATCATCAAGCCCAACCGTTAACCCAGCACTGCCAAGCGCCTGGTGAGGGTGGCTTTTTCTGGTGATAAGTACCAGTGTGGTTCTTTTCCATTCTGCACTTAGCTGTGGCAGAAAGAGATTATTTCTTTGCCTTTTCAGCTGCCTTTTTGGGATGTGAAGATTGCTGCCATGCCCCCTTCAATCTTCTTTGTCTAAATTTAAGAGTTTTATAAATGAGCAGAATATCAAAGCAGTGTCCTGCTGCCCTGGGAAAATCATTGTTCTTGCACAGCTGTGCAAGCACTGATTAAGAAAATGGGTTTTGGTAGTTTTTGATTCAAACAGTGACTTAATATTCCTATATCTTGTTATTAAGTTTTTAATTTTCAAAAATAAGTCTTCTATTTTAGTCTCTTAAATATTACCTGATTAGGCCTTGATCCCATGACCTCCTGTATGAATGGATCAAGCTTTGAACTGAATTATGTTAAGAAGAAATGTTCTGTAAAATGACATCTAAACTAAATAATTTGCAACACATTCACATCTCACAATAAAAATAGTTAAAATCTTGGTAGAGCAGAAATTTCCCTTCAGATTAATCAAAATTTAGAGCAAAGCTGTATAGCAATTACTTAGTGTGCAATTCAAGTCAGTCATGATAAACAATACTGGCAGAAATTTATATGTTCATTCTTGATCCCTGACTGTAAGTGGTTAACAAGAATTCAAACCTGCCTCTGCATTTAGCTGTAGGAAGATATATCATCTTTGCCCAAGTCTCCCACTTGTAATAAGAAATACTGCAAAAAACCAGAGATATCACTCTGGAAATGATACCCCACTGAAATATGAAGTCAAAAGTACTCTTGTCGCATGCTTTCATTAGTCTCTGTAGATATCTGTAAACTTTTCTTATTAATTTTTTAAAGCTTTACAGGCTGAATTTTTGGCACAATGCAAAGTATACCTTTGTTTGCAAAATAGACTTCTGCCATGCTTATATAAGCAGGTGCTGTACGAAGTAGAAATGCTATGTCACCTACCCTGCCATCTCTAACTCTGACAGTGGCTTGTCAGTGATCTCTGTAGACCTGAATAGACCAAATCTTTCAGCACTGGAAATCAGATGTCTGTTTTGGGCCACCACCTTACAAAACAGATAAGGATCATGTCTGATGCACCAAAATGCTTGAATTTGTCTTGATGCAGTGGTGACTGTTCAGCTGTTGCACTCTGTTGACTTTGGAGGCTAAACATAGCAGGTTAGACAGGCTCATTTTATGGGTTGTATTTGACTACCTAGTGCCCCCTTAACTCCCCAGTTTAGGCCATGGTCAGTTCCTTGTTTATGCTGCTTCGTCCTCTAAAAATAGGGTGTATGTGTACAGAGAGAGTGTTACCTGAGCAAAGTCAAGGTGAGAACTGCAGAGATAGGACCTTGCTAATACCAGGTCTGACAAGAATGAGGCTTACCTAGGCTATAATAAAAGGACGCCCAGTAACCATGACTTGATAGGGTGTGTCTTTCTCTGCTTCTCTACCTCCCTGGGATATTTATAGTTTACATGTCACCAGTGAATCATAGGATCATAGAATAGTTTGGGTTGGAAGGGGCCTTTAGTCATCTAGTTCAACGTCCCTGCTGGGAGCAGGGGCACCTTCAACTAGATCAGATTGCCCACAGCTTCACCCAGCCTGAATTTGAACACTTCGAGGCAGATCCACTGCCTGTTCCAGTGTCTCACCACGCTCACCATAAAAAATATCTCCCTTATAAATCCCTTATAAATCCAGTCTAAATCCACGCTCTTTCAGTTTAAAGCAATTCCCCCTTGTTCTGTCACTACATGCGCATGTAGGAAGTCTCTCCATCACTCTTATGGGCCCCCTTTAGGTACTGGAAGGCTGCTCTAAGGTCTCCCCAGAGTCTTCTCTTCTCCAGGCTGAACAACCCCAGCTCTCAGCCTGTCTCCGTAGGAGAGGTGCTCCAGCCCCTCTGATCATCTCTTCGTGACTGGACTCGCTCGCTCTAACAGGTCCGTGTCCTGTGCTGAGGGCCCCAGAGCTGGACGCAGCACTCCAAGTGGGGGTCTCATAAGGGCAGCGTAGAGGGGTACAATCACCTTGCCTTGCCCTGGTGGCCACGGTTCCCTGGATGCCGCCCAGGATGCGGCGGTGTCCGGGCTGGGAGCGCTCCCGGCGGGCCCCTCCCCGGGCACGGCCGCCAGGCGGCAGCAGCGGCGCCAGAGGAGGCGGCGCCCAGCGGAGCGGCGGCGGCGCGACGTGTCGCTGCCATGGCCGACGGGCGCCGCCGGCGGGGGCGGCGGTGACAGATGTATTTGAAGAGGCCGGCGGGCGGCCTCGCCTTCTGCCTCTTCTACCTGGCGTCCTGCTTCACCAACAAGGTGAGGGCGGGAGCGGGGCCGCCCCAGTCTCGGAGGGGCCGGGCGGGGCGGAGGGAGGTGCGGGGGTGCCGGGCAGGCGGTCCGCTCAGCAGGAGTGGGGGGCGAGGTAAGTGCGGGGACTCAGCAGGAGGCGAAGGAGGGACGATGTCCTCTGCTTGCCCTGCCCTGCTCTGGTCGGGGAGAGCCGCGGACCAGCCCCTCCCCGACGGGACTATCCCACGAGTGAAAAATTCCCTGGCATTCCAGCCCAAAGGGCCACCGCCCCCCAGCGCAGTGTGCTCCCGAAACTGGGGATAGGACTCTCTGCTACCGATCTTGTTTTTCTCAGTGTGTGACATCTCAACCTTTCCACGACACAGAAGTTCCAATACTGGCTTGTTGAGGAGAGGTGACATCCTATCATTCCAATGAATGAAGTGTTATGGAGCCAGAAATTAGGCTGCTCTGAAAGTATCGCTGATGCTGTATATATTGCACGATTGGGTATCTAGCAACCACACTCATTCTCAAGAGAAGATTTGTTAACTGGAACAATAATACCAAGGGAAAAATCTGAAATATTGAAAGCGTTATATCAGTAGTGGAACAAATGTTAACTTCCATGGACCTTGTGACAACTTAATTAGTTGGCAAATTAAGGACAAGAATTTTGTTTTCCGCTGTGTGACTGAGTTGCCTATTAGTGTTGCTGAGATGTTTAAGCAGAAGGAGAAATAGGCTGCAGATGGCCACATTACAAATAAAATTGTACATTTAAAACATAGTTTGAAGTAGTTTTTTCACTCTGGAAGGGGGAGATAGAGTAACTGCTCCTTGCTGTCCTATTTATCTTAAGAGTATGTGTTTCTGGTTCCGATTTGTGAAAGAAAAGATGTTATTGAAGGAATCATTATGGATTTTCTGGGAGAGGGCTAGAGAAAAGCAGCATTTCAGAGGTGAAAATGAAACCTCTTCTGGGCAGTGGCCACTGGTTTCTGTTCCAAGGTACACTTGCCATTAAGGATGCCCAGAAAAAGACTGAAGTCCAGACAGGAAACAAAGTTTCTAGGGAGAGATAATGCGCTTGATTTGACAGACTGCTAGGAGCAGTGGTTACTTAAACAGAAGGAGGCTAGAAGAGCTGCCAAATTGCGTCATGGATTGGGAAAGGTTCTTGGCTAACTGTACTTGAGAGGAAGTCAGAAGGACTTTGACATAGGGCCTCCATTTTCAAACCTGAATATAGGTTTTGGTGTAATAAAGTTAAAAATAACTAGAATATAGACCTTTTAGTTGTTGCATGTGGTATGCAGATACAGGCAGGGGTACGGACATGTGCAGATATATCGTCCTGATTTAAAACCCATGTGGTAGTTCTGACTCTTGTATGTGTAATATGGCTCATCAATATGCCTTGTTTCTCTGTACTGATGCCAGCTTCTTAGTGACACCCTACACACCTAAAAACTGGACTTTGCAAAGTGCTCAGCACAGTTTCCTCTCTGTTGAAAGCTTTCAGCTTCTCCTTTTGCCCTTGACAGCTTCTGCTGGCTCCTGGAAGGAGCAGCAGGTATGTTTCATTTCCCCTGAGGAAGCTTCAGTCATTCTTCTCCTTTGCAGGAATAGTATTTATAAACTGCATTACAGGAAATTGTTAGATCCAGATATACATGTTGAAAGACATGTAATAATGCCTCATATTTGCATACATACATATATAGCATGAAAAGACACCAGCATCCATACACACAGACCCTGACAAAGAGTGCTAAAACAATAACACAGAGACTTTGCGTTTCACCCTCATGTATTACATCTCCAGTAGGCTTTATGGACTGCTTAGTATTTTACATGTAATAGCATGTGAACAGAATGTTAGGTGTGTGAGATGCATTGATCACAAGGAGACAGTTATGTTAAGACTATTGGTCTTGATTCTGCCAAAGGTTGCCTCTGTGGTATGATATGATGTTAATTGACAGGTGCTTATGGGTTTTTGTTTCTGTTAATCCTTTTTTGTATTCAGTATGATGCATGGAGTGTACTCAGAAAGTGAAAGTACAATTCAGAAGGTAGCCTTCTCCATTGTTCAGTCACTCCATGCCCCATATACTTTAGTGTCTGTTACCTTCCACAGTAACTCGAACAGCATCCAGCAGTTCTGGTGTGGGAAGTGTCACAAATGAGTGGTTTAGGTTGCTCAGAGAATCACTGGCAAAGGTGTTGGCAAGAATGGGTTTAATATTAAGGTGAAATCACAACAGAGTTCATTGGCAAGGTTTGCTCTACTACCATCATTACTACGTACATTATATCGTTATTACATTACTACGTCATTGCATCTACTACATCATTTCCAGGTGGTTAAAGCAGACAGAGAGAAATCAGACTAAAATCCATCAATCTAAAAATAAATCAACCTAAAATGATCTATGTGGAAGTAAGGATACAAAAGTGTAAGGGTAAAAGGGAATAAGACACTCCAATTGAGTTGCAGGGTTCAGAGTGGACCCCCATGCCAGACTTAGCCCCAGACTTGACCAAGAGTTTAGGCCTAAAGGTTTTAACAGCACTTAAACTTAACGGTGCTAAATGAATAGTTTAATTTAAACAATTTAACAAAAGATTCATACAGAATTTACAATAGATACAACAGTGACTCACTTAGAGGCCTGTCTTACGAATCTAACGTACTTAAGAATCTAAGAGAGCAACCTTCATAGTACCTTTGCTATGGCATGTTCACACCTGCACGTGCATAGACCTGAAGAAGTATGTACAAGGTATACCTGTGAAAAATTCCCCTTGAGTGCAGTGAAATGGTCATGTCTTGAGAAGTGGGGCTGTCAACCCAGGCTCCATTGTCAGTGTTCGGTGGCAGTCCTCCAAGTATAGCAAACTTGAGAGTTCACTGGCTCTGAGAGGCGTCCCACTCAGAGAGAAATTGCTGGTCACAGCTTGCTGTGGTCCAGGAGAGATCAAAGGGGCTCACTTAGGACTGCTGTTTATAGGGTCACAAGAGAATTGGCTTTAGTCATAGTAATTTTCCATCCTGGCTGTAATGCGGGTTGGTAACTTTCTCTAAAAGTTCAATAACAAAAATGTTGTTCCACTTGGGTTGTTATGCAGGCAAGGAAAATAAGTTTCCAAGGTTGTTTGTTAAAAAACGGGAGATCATTAGACAGCCCTAGTTCCTGGGGGCAGACAGTGTTTCTGATAAGCTCAAGAGATAGTTAGCCCAGGTGCTGTTCGTCAAGACTGAGGCCTAATGAGCATTTCTGAGACCACAGTGTGGCCTGAAGAGAGCAGGGGGGGAAATGTGCCACGGAAAGAGAAATTACTAAGCATTTTTTTTATCTTTTCTACCAAAATAAGGAAAAATGAAAACTCTGTGTGTATTTTGTTGCTCTTGTGATTGTTTGTTAATGTTATAAACTGTAGGTGTTTGATGTCCATTAATTTGGTATTTGTTTTCCAGTATGTCCTGTCTGTCCTGCAATTTACCTACCCTACCCTTTTTCAAGGGTAAGTACTGTTTTAAGAATACAGTTGTTTGAAAAATGACTTTAATGTCTTGCTGTTCCGTGCTGAAGCTAAATTCAGTACCTCTTGTCATTACTGGCTTTTGCTGTCTAGAGAACATAATTCATAAAGCCTTAGTAAAGCATTCATTAATGTGTCTTGGTTAATTTTTTTTGACATCCTGATGGTGATGTAATTAAGATATAGAGAGTCCATAATTTCTCATTTTACTGAAAGTCTTAGCTTCAGCATAGAAAAGTAACAATTGTAGTAAAACCTGTCTTCTTTGGAAATGACACTCTTGGATAATGTGCAGTTGTGGTGTATTCTTTAGCTATGCAAGACAAAACCAACCTTAAATCCATCGTTAGGCACTTACAAACACCATGTTGCTTATTTTTCTGCTTAGCTTTGGTTGTCATCGAGTCATCTTGATGATTGTAATGAGAAATTTAATGTTTTGACAAGTGTCCATATATACCATCAGTGCTGTTGATAATTTGTGAGGCATTCTGTGAAAATCTGGCCTCTTAGTGTCAAGACTTCCCCCATTTGTTCTTTTGAGATAATGTTCAAATCTGCACACACTGGATATCTTTAGTTGCTTTTCTGCCGCTTAGCATGGCTTACATTTTTGTCTGACTTGCAGACCCAGGACTGCAAGCAACTCTAGAAATAGTTGCCTGGGGAATCTCCATTTACTTTCAGTGTATTCAGATCAATTAAATATTCACTGAACAGTTTCTTCATTTTTGGCACACACAGAGGCTGTCTCTTGGACAAGGCTTTTATCATATGGGGAAAGGGTTTTGAGTAAAGTTTGAAAAATATATGTGTGGTAAATCAACAGTAAACAAGCATATTTCAACGGCAAGCGACTGCCTTATTGTATCTGTGTTACCACAGTTATTTCCTTTTTCTATTGTTTGGCACTGCATTTCAACATCTTAATATTTTTTCGTAAGTTCTGGTTTTTAAAAGTGATCTTTCCTTGAAATTTTTTAACTGGCTCAGACATGCTTTCATTTGGAGCTGTGACAGATGAGCAAAGGAGGAAAGGAATGCATTTCTCTGTTCATGCTGTTATAGTTAATTGTCATTGGTTTTGTTCCCATTATAATCTAAGAATATATTGCATAGTGCTAAGCATCTGAGACTGTCAGTAACTTCAACTTCTGTCATTAAAACCTGAGAAGAGGAAATTCTTCACGATAAAGCTGATAGGAATTCATCACTGGCTTGAATAGAGCATGGTCAAGACTGCAGCAGACATCAGGAAAATCTGGCTTTTAAGATCTTGTATGCTTCTCATCTTAAAAAAAAGTTCAGTGAGCTATGATGTTAGCATTGAATATTTACCATATCCATGTGGAATATGAGCCCTCTCTTCTCTGACGATGTCCAACTGCATGTAATACTGTGTAGAGTGAATATGTGTTTATTTGTGTATGTGTGAGAAAGATTTTAAATAATTGCTTTAAATCATTGCATTGCAATGAATGGGAATAATAAATGAACCCAATTCTATACCTGTTATGGATGTTAATGTCATTTAACATTGTAATAGAATATCTTTGTCTGAACTGTGCTAGATATTCAAGGATTTTCACCCAAGAAACATGAAACACCTCTCTGAAAACCACTAACTTAAGGAAGAAGAAAGCTAATAAATTATTTTAAAGCTTAGAAAAAATCAGTGTGCATCACTACTCATTTTGAGCTATCTGCAGATATTTCCTAGGCCTCACATACTGTTTCTGTAATAGACAAAGGAACAGCTTTGTGGTAGGATAAGTCATTAGATAGATAAATCAGTGCAGAATGAACGTAATTGTTATGTACATTTTCAATGAGAAAACTGCAGCATTGTGGTTCATACACAAGGTTATCTGGCTGTAAAGATGTTTTCTCTAGGGACTCTGAACCAGAGGCTCATGCAGAATAATGATGTTATTGTTGATGACACTTCACTTGGTGCTTGATGCACAAGCTCTAGAGGCAGGGGAGGAAGCAGTCAGTTCAAGGGATTTTGTAATCTAAACCCATCATGAATTACCGTGGGAAGTCATGGAGCTAATGTTTGAAACTAGTAGGACTACACACGTTATCCTTGGGGCTTATTACTTCAACTGAAGTGAGTCTTTCAGTCCTGAAATCATGTTTATTTGTTCCAACAGTAACAGTTTATGTATGAGAAGATAGTCATCTCTTGTCACAAACCTTGCCTCACTTGCATCTTCAGATCATCGTGGCTGTAATAACGCTATTAATATCATAAACCTTGTGTAGGAAGAGATGATAAAATGGGGATTCAATAACATGATTAAGGTAGTTGTGGTAGGTGGTAATTTATTTATAAAACATTTGAAAAAGGATGTGGAAGCACCAGATTATTAGAAAATCTGCAGGAAATGAAAGCCCACAGAAATGAAAGATTCAAAGGAGAATAGTGGCATCCCTGGTAACCTAGAGAAATGGCAGATAACTGGAATCATGAGTGTGCTGTGAGAAGTTCTGTGGGTTCTAAGGTCATTCTCATGATTAAAGAGGACAAACAATTCAGAGATGCTGTGTTGTTCTGTTTCAGGTGGCAAACATTAGTGGGTGGACTTTTGCTTCACCTCTCATGGAAGCTGGGTTGGGTGGAGATAAACCTGTGTTCGAGGTAATCCGGTTTTTTTGGTATCTGCGAAATATTTATTTTCTGTAGCTGGATCACAACATAGATAGGTTGTGGAAGTTACTAACTGGCAAAAATACAGGTTGGTGGGTGTGGGGGGGTGTGTGTGTGCGTGCGGGTGCTGCTTCACAGATGTAGAAGAGAACTTGTGTTTTACTCAAGTAAATCTTTTATCTGCTGTGTAGATAAATGGAGGATATTGTTATAATAGCCATCAGTGATAGTGGTAGAAGCAAGATTAGGTACAGACATTGCTTTAGTGGCAGTTACTGATATCTATATATTATTATCAAATGTGTATTTTTGGTGCAGACCTCGTTTTCACAGAACAGTCTAAAGAAATATAGCTGTCAGTAATGTCCTTTTTTAGTTCAAATTGTCATCACTCATGATTACTTCTGCTTTAAACCATGAAATTAAATAAATTGAATTTTTTTTTTCCCGAGCTTGGAAAATATATTTGATTTTTTTCAAATTCTGAAATAATTTAAAGAAAATACTGGACAAGAGCCACTTTATGATGTTGAAGATGTTGTTTTTATCTATGAAAAGTTTTGGTGAAAAATTATTTGTATTTTGATGCTGGAGACTACAGGCCACTAGGTGTCAGTGCACTGTAGGAAAACGGATTAAAATGCATCTTGAGAGACTTATTACTTTAGTGAATGCAGAATACCTGTTCTAGAATAGACTGTATGGAACGACCAGAATTAATTGACACATTTTGGCTATAATACAGACAAATACTTAATCATGAGTTTAAACCTGTCTTTCTTCAGAAGAATCAGGCACATGTTTTAATGCTTTGCCGAGCTGGACTTGTATTGTACCTCCTGTATTAAAACAAAACAAAATTAAACCAAAATAAAAAAAGCAACCCCAAAAGCCAAAGACCAAAACACTCTGACACCCAAAACCCAACCAACAAACCAAAAAACTCCCCAACAAACAAACATAATGTCAAAAGGTGATTTAGTACTACCACTGGGATATGGATATTTCCACACCCCCACCCCTTACACAATATTGGTCTCTGAATCCATCTGTTGGTTTGGGGTTTTTCTGTCTATGTGTAGTATACTTAAGAATACCATGTCCAGTCTCCTCATGCTTCAAATAATAAACTACCATCCATTTGTTTGTTTATTTCTACAAAGTCTCAGTTTTTCTGTCATGTGGACATGACAAGCTCATACACCTTCTGAGCCAGTTCAGGTTATCTCCAAGTGTCTCAGCTGTATTACATTGTTACATAAAGATCATCAGCCTTTGTGTAAAGTCCAGAATACTAACCTCACAATAAAGACCAAATGAAAACATATTACTTAGGGTAATCTCTCTTAGATTTTGTGGATAACCTACTTTTCATCTGCTTCTCCCCAGTGCTCCCAACTTTAAGGGACTCTCCATCATTGCTTCTAAACAGCAAATACTATCTGCAAAGCTTGTATCCAAAACAAGGTCTTTGTGGAGCACAGTGGAATATGGGTAGCATCTACATAATGCTACACAGTGCTGCAGTCTGCTGCCCAACTTCTGCCTAACCCTTGTAGGCACATAAGTCCAGTATGTTCTGGTTGGCATTCCTTGTAGTGCTGCATTTCCCCCACAGCTAAGCAGCAGCTCAGAGCCTTACTTAAACCAAAGCTCCAAAGTGTGGTTTAGGGGAAACTACCCGTTGACTTCAGTGGGCTTTGGATTTAGCCCTGCAACAACCACAAGCTCATCAGTTATTTTCCTGTTTTGCATGTACATCACTGTAGTGCCAACATAAGAAGCTGCTAATTGGTTTACATACAAGACAGATTGTTGATGCTGACGCGTTACATCAAACATCCATGCATTCTTTTTCAGTCCTGAAATTCCCACTTGGCAGCATAAAATTCTACCCTTACATCATGGAAAAAGCATCTGAAGTCCTTTTCCATTGCACTTCACAGTATTGCATTGGAAATAAAGACATATTTGGGATTCCTACAGTTTAGTGGTGGGGAACATGAAAGAATGATATTTTTATGTTCTAAATGAAAATTCGGTTTTCATCATGTGTTCCTTTCATCTTCTCGGCCCTACTTTCTTTTCTTCCCTCCCCCTTCCTTCCATTTCTTGCAGTTCCAATAGGGCGGTGGGTATTTTTGTTGGTGTCTGATGTGAACTCATTGGTAATGAGGCATGACAGTTTTAGATCTCGGTCTTGATGAAATTCCAGTTGAAGTCAATAACCTTAAAAGGAACAGCGTTTTTATAAAAAATTATGGTGACTACTCAAGAAAACCCAGAGCAAATATTTATGCCAGTGGAAGGATCTAAAGATTGTATTCGTGGCCCTGGGTTTTTGATTGAGTATCTTGGAAAATGATTAACAGGAAATGTGATATTTATGGTTTCTTCCTTGTCTGTGATTACATGTATCCTTATGTTTTATTTTCATTCATACTGTTCTGATTTCATTATTTAGTGATCTGTTTTTCTTGTGTTCCGTGAAGTGTAGTAGTGTAGCAGTACCTGTAATTAATGTTTCAAGTCTTACATACTGGTTGGAAGTGTAATGCAAATTAAGTAACTACGAACAGTTTGGTTTTATTCTGAGAACCAGCATTATTTGCTAACTTTTTCTTGACTTTAATTCAAAGCTTGGGAAGAGTGAATGGATTAGCCATGACTTCAGTCCTGGGAAGCCTTTGATTCAGGCCCTTACCTCTTCCTTTCTTCCCCCTTGCTCAAAGTCTTCCATTATTCTCTCTGAAATTTACCACCTACCTGGTCCCTTTTTCCCCTTAAGTAACAAGATTTAAAAAAATGGAAAAGTGCAAATTCTGAAACCCTTTCTCGGAACTGAAACTTGACCCTGCTGCAACAACCATAGCTAAAAAAAAAAATTAATCAGATCAATCTGATGACTTCATTCCTCCATTAGTTGTCAAACTGCCTCCAGGAGTTTGGCTTAGTCAAAGGAATATCATTAGGAAATCTCAAGAGATAGGCTCCCACAGAGACAATCTGATCTTTAGGAAGAATCTCTTTGTAAATCTGGCTGAGAAATGAATGTGTGGGTGGCCAAGTGTATTTGTACATAGTGAAAATGTGTGCTGTCTGTGCAAATGCGCCATTTTATGCCTTCATTTGTCAGTTTTTGTTCCTTTCGCAGCACATAAGGAAATTAGTTGAAACTTCTCTCCTTTAAAACCAATGCAAGTAATTGATAAGGAAAAAGATAAACCAACACAATTTTGGAGAGAGAGGAGCCAGGGAAAGAGTAAAAGATAAAAAATGTATCTGCAGATAGTTCCTCTCTTGGATTAGATGAAGTGAATAATTTCTGACTTGGACTTGTAGTAAATTGGAGGAATACTGAACAATCGGACAATGACTTTAATATGCACACATTTGAAATTTATGTACATATATACATATTATATTCCTTGCAAACAACTGTTCCTGACTGTATGTAAACAGAATGTGGTGAAATAATGAGATTTTAATTGTTTTCACAGGTCTGAAATCCTGTCATGGCTTCCTGCCTCAGTACTTTTTGTGGGCATCATTTATGCTGGCTCTAGGTCACTGTCTAGATTGGTAAGAAATGTACAAGTAGAAGTCAATTCTTTATTATCTCTACTTTGTAAACAGAGAACATTCCCTTCATACATGGTGTTTAATGCTGTTCCTGGGCTGAGGGGAAAGGAGAGAGGAGGGATTTAAATAATACATCAATTCTTAATGGTGCTAAAGCAGTGGTTCAGTCCTATGAAGTATCAAAAAGCATCTCTGTGACAGTCCAAAGGACTCAGCATCTTTCCAGAATACTCAATGTTTTTCAGAACAGATCCTCAGTGGTCTGAATTTTGCAAGTAAGGAAGAAGCTGAAGAACTTATTAGCTGTAACTTTGCAAAAGGGGGAATGGGACTGTGGGATCTGTGGCAAATCCTTCCAGGAAAGTGATGAAGACCATTTCAGTGAGTGCCTTTTGATTCTTTACTGGATTTGAAAAAATAAATTGAAAGTTGGAAAGAGATTATGGGAATGGTTAGATTAATCAGTTTTATGATCCATTTGCATCACAATAACCTATCAAATGTTTACAAGATGTCAAATCTGCTTTCATTAAACTTGAATGCTTTATACTTAAATGATACAGTCTTTCTTAAAAAAAAAAAAAAATTAGTGACATGATTTTTTTAAAAATAATAATGTTTTACTGCTGTTATGCAGTCTGCAAGCCCAAATTCTGCACTAGTTCCCTTCTGCATTCTGTCAGTGCATCTTACTGTAACTGTAGAGCCAGCTTGCTCCTGTTGTCTCCTAAACCCCAAAGAAGATCAAAAGGGAATTTTTTACAGGATTCTGATTGTAGTGATCCCTTGAACATCTCAGTAGAGAGGCAGAGCAGAAAAGGACAGGAGGTCTCTGTCCTCATAAACAAGGTTGGAGGCCTCATCTTGGAACCAAATAATCTTGGGAAAACGCAGGCCTGTGCTCAGAAGCCCCTGCTTCCACTTTAGTTCTGTCTCAGGATGATTGCATTTACTTCTTCTTGGTTCCTTGTCAAAGGAGGCTCCATTGGCCTTCCCTGGTGTAAAGCGAGCAAAGATCCATGAGGAGAGCCTTGCCTGGAAACAGCAAAAAGCCTTGGCAGCAGCATCTTTTCTGCTTGCTCACCTGGGTGGTGGAGGAGTTATGAATCACATCCTCTCTGCTATTTCTTCTTACTTCCTAGTCATGCAGTCAGTTACTGTGTTTCCCTCCTGTTCCTGCTCTGGTCATTCATGAGTGAGCTGCACTGGAGTGGCAGAGGGGCTAGGAATGGTTTTGATTTATATCCCAAACCTTTCTTAAGGAGAATCTCCCATTTCTGAATGGCTTTTTGTTGTACATGAATGAGAATTTAGAGGCCTAAGTCTTTGGCTGTTTTAGGAGGAAACACAAAAGGACAAGTAGTCTTAGGTCGTAGTTTTTATGTACTGCCTTGTACTGGGACTGGAGCATGTTGGAATTAAGCAAGTTTATTCCTAAAGCAGAATTTATATACGCTTTTTTTATTAAATCCAAGGAGACCCGCTTTCAAACACTCCTGTATACTGGCAGGGCTACAATTTTATCTCTGTTTGTGCCTTTCCCTAGAGGTACTGGCAATCTCCCCTGCCCAAGGGTTCAGGGGTGGAAGTGGAGGAGGACTGCTTAGCTCTGGACTGTGATGCATTAACAAAAGTATGCAGAGCTGTGAGGGGAGGTTTGTACAGAGTCAATTCACCCTGCTTGCCCAACCAGTAAACCTTTCTTTTCATAACCCACTCACAAATTTAAGAAATAGTCACATCAAAGGCAATAGACATATGGAGAAGGTTAACTGGGCTAGGCAAACTGGAGCCATTGTTGGCTCCAAAACACATTTGAAAGAGCCAAAAGCAGAGAGCAGGAAAGAAAAACCCAACAAATTGGCTTCACAAAAGGAAGAATGTAAATTCTGCTGTCAACTTTCCTTGTTTATGGCTATTTCTTGTATTTCCTATTACTATGACAGGCTCAGGGTGCTCATGTTGTATACTTCTGGTTTTATATTCTCAGTTGAGAACTGGCTTTCAGAACTGGTGAAGCTGTTTTGTTTGTGTGATTTTCATTCCTGTTTAGTTTAAAGATTTTAGAAGTTACCTTGGTGTAACTCCTGTGTTTATGAATCCACCTCAGCTGTCATTATGGCTTAAAATGTTTAATTAGCGATACTTATCTGGCTTCATGGTAAAGAAAAGAAAATTACAGAAAATACAGATTTCTGAACACGAAGTCCGATTTAAGAGATGTTTGCTGCTTATATCACCTGATACTTAAAAACATGGACATCACTGAGAAATTACCTCATGATCTACTCATGTGATTTAAATACTATACACAAGTAGGGAAATAATGCTTCCTAAACTGGCTTAGTCTTTAACATTATCTTAGTCAGAGCAGAGAATTGCTTCTGTTTCAGCTGTCTGAGAGACCATGGATCTGATTTGGAGGAAGTATTATGAACCACTAATTCTGGTTGGGTTTGCCTCCGGCAATGAGTGTTTGATTCATTATTGTTATCACTGGGTTTTGTTTCTTAATGATTTCATGTTGGGATGGTGTCCAGATGCCTCAGTGAGTACAATTTCAACATCACTTGTGTATGAACTATTGCATTTCTACCCTAATTTTGGACATCTCTTCCTGGCAGTAACTGAAAGCAATCACCTGAAATCATCTTGCCCACAATTCTGTTGCTAGGAGTCACACTGTATTCTTAGTTCCAGTAGACAGAGATGGGAAAACTAATGAGAACTGTTTACTGTGGAGGGTGCAGATGTTGGATCAGAGAAGGAAAACTAGCGGCAGAAACCAGGAGCAAATCTTACAACTGTGTACAAACAAACTGGCTGAGCACTCAGAAGTGGGAGAAGCAGCAAGCAGTGCTACAGCAGGGCCTGCATTTAAAGATGCCTGTGCCATGTGGTAATGATTGGAATGGGTCTAAGTCCCTTTTAGGAGATATGGCACGAGTTTAATGTTTAAAAAACAAAAAACCCAAACCACAAACATGTGGGACAGCTGTCTCTAGGAGGAGTGCCCCTTACTATGTGTGTGACTGTTCTGGGTTGATTTGGGCATTTTTGTTCTCTCCCAACGGCAGCCAATCCCGGTGTTCCTCACGGTGCACAATGCAGCAGAAGTTATAACCTGTGGGTTCCAGAAGTTTGTGCAGAAAGAGGTAATTGATCTGTTTATTGATGCATTCAAGGTAACTACTGTGATATAACTGCCCTATAACAAAATACTTAATTTCTTTTAATACAAGCAGCATTGGTACAGTGTGCTTTTCTGGTCTCTCTGTGATAGCTGGTCATTAGTGATAAGAGAGAGCTTTGCCGTTGACAGTTATCTATACTGATACGAGATATGAAACAGGGCACATGCGTATCACCAGTTTGATCTGCATTTTTAAGACTAGCTTGATCCTGCTTGTTTTTTCCTTTTGAAAACTAATATTCCCTCTCTGTCATAGTTTTTATGTCCCCACATAAAAATCTCATTGTTTGAGCTGAGAGGGAGAAGGACTGCGTCCTTATATCTAACCAGTATAATATATCTAGTGTGTTGTATGATTATAGATAGATCATATCTCCATATGAAATGCAGGAGGAACAAGGCATTTTTAAATTTGTTTTGAATTCTTGAGAATCTGCCCTAAGACCTGTGAAAGTCAGGTGAATAATTCCTGCACCCCTTAGTAAGAGCTGAGTTTGTTTCTCACGAACTGTAATAGGAAGCCTTCTTTTTAGGCTTTTCTTGAAATGTTTTTCTAATTGACTAAAGAGCTGCTGTATGAGCTAACACTGGGAAATCATTCATCACAATGAATGATTTTTTTACAGTGTCATTTTTACAGTGACCTCTGTCTTGCTGTAAAAGGGGTCTTCCATTCATTATATCTGTTGTCTGTGTAGAAGACAAATAAATGATCCATGTTTACTACTTGTAACAAACAGAAGAGGTCACTAAGGTTATGCCTGAGGGACATAAGAGTGTGTACCATACTATGTCCCTGTGACATTGTCCTCTGATTAGTGTCCCTGTCAAGGTATTTCATATTTTCCTTCTATGTCACATGCTTATGATTCCTCTGTTTAAAAACAAAAGCACTGCAGACAAGGATAATGCAAAGACAAACCTTGCTGAGAAGCTTCTCGGGAATAATTTTGTACCAAAAAATTGGGAAACTTTCATGAGTTTAGATCAAGACTGATTTGACTGATATCTTTTATTAGGTACCTAATTAGTACCTAATTAAGAAAACTCAGTATTTGAGTACATACATGACACAGTTTTGGTACAATTCACCTTAAGTTTGAGGACGAGGTATAAAGTTCATGCTGGTTTTAGATTTACCTGCTGGTAAGTAATCTGAAAATATAAATCAAGTTGAAGTAGGCTAATCTGTAATCCTGATTCTTCTTTTCCAATTTAAATTTGCTCAGCCATGCTCGAAAGTAATGGGCTGTTGAATGCTGCTAATTGAAGTTTTAATGTGTTTGGTGCAATAAGATCAGCTGTCATCATTTTCCAGTTTTTGGAAGGAGAAAGGACTATTTCACCATTTTTATTGTTAAATTTTAATCTTTTAATCATACTTTCTTTTTTACAGCAGACCTCTCATCTGAAAGTCTGTAGGTAAGCTTTTAAAACTACTCACATTCAGATTCAGACTTGTTTTGGCTCCAGCTTCTCTATTTGCTTCAGATAATGGCACCAGAACAATGAAGAGTGTCAGACACATTCCTGTGGGCGGTGAGCCTAAGTTGCAACATAGGAGTAATTAAATATTTTTAAATTTTTTTAACCATTACTTGAATCGATATGTTTTTTCTTCTTACAAAAATAAAAAAAACCAGAAGACCAGTCTTCCTGAATGAAAAAGCAGTGCTCATAACATTTTTGGAAAGGAGATGGAAACCAGGTTTGAAGTTCCAATGGGTGATCATAAACATTATCAGAAAGATGATTAATGTGTTAGAAAATAGCTAAAAATGCCTTTTGTGAGAAATAAAAGGTAAATAATATATATTTCTGCTAGAATAATTCATTTCAAGGTGGAAGTATGTCTCTTCTGTCATGTCTGAAGTGACAGGATGAGAGGAAATAGCCTTAAGTTGCACCAGGGAAAGTTCAGATTAGATATCAGTAAAAAATTTTCACCAAAAGAGTGGTTAGGCATTGGGATAAGTTGCCTGGGGAGGTGATGGAGTCACCGTCTCTGGAAATGTTCAAGAGGCATCTGGATGTGGCACTTGAGGAGATGGTTTAGGGGTGATTATGGTGGTACTGGGTGGACAGATGATCTTAAAGATGTCTTCTAAACTCAATGATTTTGTGATTCAGTGATAATAAGCTACACAACCTACCTACACAACCAACCTTTGATGGCCCTGGTTGTTTAGGCTTCAAAAAGGAGATAGAAAGGGACAAACAAAAGTCAACCAACCATGTATTAAAAGTTTCATTCTATACCCCCACATCCCTTGAAGAAAGCACACTTGTTATTCTCCACATCCTGTAATCTTTTAGCTGTACTTCAGAATGGATAATGTTGGGTTACTATTTAGTATACTTAGAGGCATTATCTTCCTAATTTCTTCCTGTTATTTCCATTAACTAACTTACTGTGGCCTTGTCTTCACCACTGGATTATTGTCAAGGATACTAGGGTTTTTTATAATCTTTATTCTGTCTTTTCCTATGCCCCTAGAGAGCAGGAAAATAAGCTCCCAACCCAAGTCTGTTATTATTAATAGTGACAGTCCACAGAAATTCGACATCAGTGTATTCAGTGTAGCATGAAGAAATACTGGCTCAGCCACAGGTTGAGAATTTATTTAACTTAAGTCAGTGGATTAGGAGAGGACTTATGTTGTCCTTAAACAATTTCTAGTGTAATACCTCTCATTTTCACTTTGCTCTGTGTTCTGGAGTAACACCATTACTTTTAAGGGAGTCATTTCTGCTGGAATTATTGTAACAGGCAGTTCACCTTAATAAAAGAAGTTTTTGGTAGCCATTCAGACAGAAACTGGTTGATTTTGGCCTTCTGAAGAAGCCTAGGGAAGCCAGATGGCAAGTGAAGAATAATATTCTCTACCAAAAAAACTTGATTTCATCACTTCTGAGATGCTTTTTGCTGCTTCTGTTCTCATACAACTTTGCTGTGTATGAGTTACAAAGAATGCATGAAGTAAAACTTAATTGTGGTGGCAGAAATTGCTTTTTAAATATAGAATAAAAAACTGAAGTGTCAGTGTAAAATTAAGTGGAATTGCCTCTACTTTGCTGAGAGTACAAATCCAAGTTGCAAGCTTTTGATCTTATGGGTTTTTTTTTCTCTTCTCCACAGTGTGCTGTTCCTCCTGGCAGCAGCAGTGTGCCTTCCTTTGTGTGACACACAGGTGAGTTCTGCTTAGTAAAGCAGCTCTAGTTAGACCTTGATGTGTGACATTGTGTTAGGATACGAGGGATGCAGCTTTCACTTGTAAGCCAGGGTAGGATTCCTGTGGAGGAACTGTAAATGTTTCCTGTTGCTGTGTTGTAGTCGTGCTGGTTTTACTGTGTTTGCATCATGGTAAAACCTCTGAGCAGTCTGGACATGCAGCTCTTTGGTGAAGGTAGTGGCTGGGGAAACCATGATTTTACTTCTTACAGGGCTTACAGCAAATCACTTAGGTTTGAGTTAATTGCATGTACTTTCAGAAGGTTCCTAAACTAGTTTTGTATTCATTCTACATGCTTTCTGTAGCTACTGGAGAAAGAAAGGAGGTACCTCCAGAGAGTGCTCCATCCAGCAAAGGTTTCTTCGTTGGAGATTCTCATTGGGAGACCTATGAAGGCTGCTTCCTTGCTTTAGACACTTAAGTTAATATCTGAAGTCGGATGAATCTGGAACTTGTCTAGATTCATCTGACCAAATGTGGCCATCGGAAGCATTGCACTTGCACTAGCTCTGCATAGTCCATGGAGCAGAGCAAGAACTTCTGATATATGATTCATCTCCCTTGAAAGCAGATATCTAAAATATGCCAGATGAACTCATCTCAAAAGATTTGGTTTTACCCGTTGATTGTGAAGAGGACCTGCTTTGCTCAGGGGCAGATGTCTGAAGCACTCTTTTGGATACTCTGTGATTAGTTGGAGCCTTAGCTGCTGCAGAGGCTGAGAGGAGAAAGGAGACATGACAAACACCTTAATGATGGTCCTCTGATCCTTTTGCTTCTCCCTGGTTGCCAATACAGGACTAAACAGACTGGGGTCCATATGATTGGATTGTTTAAAATGTTGTACATAACTGAAGGAAATAGAACCATCCCTGTCAAGACAAGCTGAGAACCTGGGTAACTGGCATATGCCAGGTCTCTAAGGGGGAGAAGAAGAACTTCAGTCTTCCCAGTCTTCTTTAGTCATCTTCTCTTTCCTTTTAGCATTGCTCCCACTCGCTGTACTTGCTTTGGGAAGTTAACTGCAGGGAAATCACAATATGTATGTTTACATGAACATGTTTTTATTTATGTAGATGTTCTTTATTGCAGTTTGATCCAAATGGTTATTTATGGGCTCTAATTCACTTGGTCTGTGTTGGTAAGTAATTTTCTTTAAGAAAAGACTTAGGAAGAGTAAATGTTTTGGAGAAATGAGCTTTATTATGAAATTACCGATATTTCAGTTTCTTTACATAAGAAACACTTGGAAAGAATGAAGATCAGTAAACATAAGAAAGTGCGTTCCTATTATAGCTTCTATGTTGAAAACAACAACAGAATAAACTAGGTATTGCAGTCTGTTAACAGTGGATGAGAAAATGCACATACAATTTTAATCAACACTAAGCTCTTCTGGTTGTTTTTTAATGGTTACCTACTGAGAGACACTTCTTTCTAAGAGGAGAATAAACATGAAAAAGGCAAACAATAACTTGTAGTTAGACCTTTATTACACACACAGATTTTATTTAAAAACTGACAAAAATACTCTAAAATATCATGGAATATGGTCCCAGAGGAAGGATGTTGAAATGCTGGGGTTTTTTAGGCAATCATACGCATTTTTTAAGAATTTTAACAGTGGGTCGCATAACCCATCAGGTTTTCTTTTGTCTTTTTTTCAGACTAAACATTGATTCAGATAAATCATAACTCTTCCCTGAAAAGCTAGAAACAGTCAGACCCAGAAAATCTGAAGAAAACAAGAGTAGTAATCTTTAACTAGGAGATTTGTGTCCTTTGGAGCATTTGGATGGATAATCAGTAACTTGTATTTGATTCTTACCTGTCCTATAGACTGAGTGACTCATTCATATGTTAAGTCTTATCTGCAGATTAAGGATGATTCCTTCTTTATTTCTTCTATTCAAATTGTAAAATTCTCAAGGCAGAGGTAATGTGTTTATATGTATTCGTGTCTAGGGAGGTCTAGAGATCCCATTCTAAAATGTTGTTAATATATAAATGTGAAATAGGAGTTTTTTTCCTCTAGGAAATATTATATATATAAACACTTGCTCATTTAGAAAAAAGCAGAAGCTATGGATTTTTTCACATCAGATATTTATTTGATGTAATGAGTGATGTTACTGCTTTCTCAAAGCAGTAACATCATGGAGGTGGAAAACTGCTTAGAGAGTCTTCAGAAGGATTCTTCTGAGTGTTTGAAACGTGTAGGAAGTGCCAACAAAATGTTTATACTCAAAATATAGCTTCTTTCCATTTCTTTTGGTTTTGACAGTTGTTGATTTGACTGTTGTTTTTTGTGTAATTAGATTTCCTATCAACTGAAATAAAGATGCTATAAGAAAGGGCAAACAGATGAACCAACTTCCTACATTAAGTTTATCGAGACAGGGCATTAGAGAAAGGACATGTGTTCTACCCTTCACCTTGTCTAGCAGAGGCAGAATTGGGTACATCTATTTCAGTGTTCTACTGGATTTAATTTTCATATTCTGGTTCTCTCTGTGAATTAAAAAAAAAAAAATGCCCCAAGGCCTTGAAGAAAGAGTCTGAAAAAATAGAGCCTGAAGCTGTATTGTTTCTTCCATGAATGCTTAAAGCTTTACCCAGAATAGAAATGTGAGCTAACCAAGAGGTGGGTGTGTCAAAAATGTAAAGAACCTGGAGATGCTAGAGCTGAGAGAACTTTAAATAGTGAAGATAGAGCCAACAGCTCTACGTAGGGGTCCACACAGATTAATATGTCATAGAACTTATCCCCAAAATCGCGTGGGCTGAAGAACCTATTCTGTGACACTTTTCTGTATGTATTTACACACAAAAACACGTACACACACACTCTCCTTTGTAGCTGCTGTGAGCTAGAAGTTGTCTCTTCTCAGAAGAACTAGCAGAACCACAAAGCATGACTGTACTCTGAGATGATAACACTTTGAAAACTACTAATTTGAAGCGATTGGTTCATTTTACTCATGGTTTAGGAATCCTTTGTGCCATGTTGCTAAACTGTAGTTCAGAGGGGTTCATGTCTGCCAGTACCACGGCCAAACAAGCTGTTGTTTGTCAGAATGATTGCACGTTATGGCAATTACACATGTCATTTCAATTACAGGGGCTTACAAAGTATTTCACAAGTTGTGGAAACCTGGCTCCTTAAGGTAGTGTGTTTTCCTATTCTTTTACAAAGAAAGAGATTGCTATCAAAGGGGCTTAGAAACACATCTGTGTAGCAGTCAGGTAAACTGTAGGGATATCTGCATTATCAACACGAGCTTGGCCACTCTTGGTTAATCATTAATGACTTCCCTTGCAAGAGGAGCCTTATTTATTGTTGGTAACAATAGCATGTGGTTATTGATAGCTGTACTGCTAACTGGGACACTGAATTAGTTTTAAACGTTGTGTTATCCAAGGGTGATGACTCAGTCCTGGAAAAAGAACCCGTAATTACTGGCACAGGTGTTAAGAGGCAATGTTAATTTGTGTTCATGTGGAAAGCAGCATGGTTTGAATCTGTCAGTACTTCCCTTTGTGACAGTCTCAGAAGTGTTCAGCAGTTGCTGACTTACCACAGGACTGGAATGGCCAAGTGCCTTAAGCACCTTGAAACCTTCACTAATCCCATTTGCTTGTTAGAACTCCAACCGTGCAATAGTAGTCTTAGAATCAGATGGCACTACATGTTCACAGTGTCTGTAATCTGCAGCTGTCTGTATAGATGGAGATGGATCTGTTGCCACTGCATATTATGTATATGTTCATAGTATATGCATCTGTAGAATATGGATAACCTCATTTATTTCAAAACAGTTTTCCATCTCTGGTTAAAGGTTCTAAATTTTAGTCAGTCTCATTTTACTTCACTTTAAATGAGACTTTCACTGACATAGTAACAACAGAAATAATATGTGAATTTTGTGTAAATTAATATGCTGATTAATTGAGAATTTAGTTAATTTATTATTATCTATAAAGTTATTACTATATTATATTCATTATGTATATAATATAATGTTACTATTACCTAACTTTATTATATAAATTAATATAATGGAATATTACAGTGTTATAATACTTCTTAATATACTGATCTCTTATACCAAATGAATTGCTTTGCTAAACGAGCACCTTTTTTTCTTTCCCTCCTCTCTCAGTGATCTGGACCAACAGTACATCAACTATGTATTCAGGTAAAATGAATAAGTCTTTGATACACCATAGCTGGTTTTATGTGGTATATGTTTTAATTTTCAACCGTGGCTTGTTGAGGAAACTCATAGCTACCACTACTTAAATGTATTAATTTAGAAGGACATTCACTGAAAGAACAGTGCTAAGCTGAATGGCTTAGCAGATGAATTTTTTTGGCTCTGGTTATGGATGGATATGCCAATATACACCTGGGAAGGTAACGAGGTGTTAATTATGAATTTTTAAATCACCGTGTGCAGAAGTGATCTATCATTTCCAGAAATAATATTTACAGAGTAACTCCCTGGCAATACCCCACTTCAGAAAATAAAACTTGTACAAAATTGCCAGAAGGGGAGGTAGTGATTACAAAAGTACTGTGTGCAAAGAACATGAGCAGTAACTGATTGTTCAGAGTGCTGTTAGTGGGATTGAGTAATTCAGACTTTCAGTTGTTTTTCTGATTTGGAGATATAAAAGTGGCTTGTTATTTTTTAGCTAGTGAAAGAGCCTGAGTCACCGACCGTATTCCCCTGCTTTTTTAAATTCAATCCTTTCCTCAAAGAGCCACACAAGTCAGAACATTCAGTGTACTTGGCTTCTGTTGGGTTTTGGTGAGGCTTTGTTTGAAGTAGGGCATATAGAAACTTGATTAGCTTCTCTTCATCCGTATGTTGGATGCCCATTCTCCTCCATCCATATGTTGTATATGTTGGCGTCTTCTTAGGATGGTAGCTAAAGTCATATGGGGACACTATGAAGTATGAATAATAAATTCAAAGAAAGGGTAGTCAAAAGGAATGAAAGAGGGAGCGGAAGTTAGGAATAAGCGTAACAAAAGTAAAGTTGTATTTCTCTGTTTGATTAGATGGATGACCACATGAAAGATCATTGATAGGAACACATCAGGGACACCAGTGTAGGAACATTTCTTCACTTCAGTTCCCATTTATCTTGTAACATCATCCATATGATAGCAGTGCCTCTCTTTCTATCTTAGTTCAATCAAATCTCCTATTTCGATACATAAGTAATGCAGGCCTGTGATTTTGCCTCTGTATGATTCCAGTGTCTATTCACCAGGGTCCCATTCGTGGATAATATCTGAATATCAGTTTGCTTGAAGTGGTCTCTTGTTTAAATCAGTTGTTTTCCATCTATGCAATGCACTATGAAATGCAAAGCAAATCAATTTTATGCAAAGGAGGTAGGTGTGTTTATTGAAACTTTGGAAGAATTAGTTGTGGAATTTGCAAATAGCTGCCACATGCAGAAATAACCCATGAAGTCTTGAATGAGCTGTAGCTGTTTTTCTGTGTTGAAGGGAAAATAATTAAACAAGCAGTAAAATCAATTGATTTTTTTATTTGGCAGTTGCCTGAATATGGCTTTCAGTTGTCATTTTAGTTGAAAATTGCACATAGGCCTGAACCTTTAAATTCAGATTTTGGCTGAAGGTCTTAAATTTGCAGCTTTGTTTGAAAAGTCAGGGCCGGGTGTCTTCTCTGTTAATCGGTGTTCGTGGTCCTTTGGAGTCTGTGAACTTGTGTCCAGCAGAGAGCAGGAGTTCCACATTACATGGAAAGTATGATTGTTTATTTGGAAGCTTTTGAAAGGGAGAAACTTCTTGCTAAGGAGCTGTGAGGTGCAATGGTATGTATTTTAAAACTTTTCTTTTTACAAAAAACCCAAACAAACAAATAATCCAACAATGGATTTGTGCAAATTGGAAAATGGCTATTTTCAGCATCTGCTTAAAAACAAAAATTTGTTATCAAATCTTCCAAAGATTTTCACCAATAAGAGGCTTAAAGGTCAGCATAGCTTATAAGATGATGATGCAAAGCAATTGCTGGAAAACAGGTGACTGAGAGGAGGTAGCAGACTGGATGTTTCTTTGTTTGGCTTGGGTCTGTAGATATCTACATATGTTTGTATTTCTGTGTATTACAAAAGCTCACAGTCCATAACATTTGGACCAGGGAAAACAAGCAGTACCACAGACAATGTGATAAGTGACATCTGATTTCTTTTAGAGTTTTGTTTTGTCATAATAGCTGACAATGTTTGAAAGGGTGTGAAATTTGGTGGAAGCTCTTTCCACGTTTGCAACCTCCATGGCATGCCACCTCCAATATTTAATGGGACTTAAATACTTCTCCTGCAGAAGGCACTGGCAGGGTTTGTTTCTTCGTGAGACCTTCGATGAAGCTGTTCAGAGCGTTTGGGAGCTATGTAGAGCTGTGTACACACAGCTTTACTGCACAAGCTTAATTTCTGTAGAAAACAGTCAAAAGTATTTTTAAATCTCACTGAGTAGAAGAATATTCTCTGAATGAACTCTAACTCCTCACAGGCAACTCTGGGTCAGAATTACTGTAAACATGGGTTTATCTCTATGAGAGGGTGCCTAGCGCTAAATTCTGTGATTTAGCAGGTGTTAATGCATGTGCTGCTTCCTGTACTCGAGGCTACTTGAGGACTGTTTTGACCATGACAGAATCCCAGTTCCACCTCCAGAACAGGATACTGTAATGTGTACTGCAGATCTGGTCTATACGGGCATGATTGTATGATTCTATGATTTATGAAGGAACTTGCTACTGTGGTATTAGTGCAACTTTCTCCTCTTAGCACTATGATCCGTGGGTCTTTAAAGCTGCTTATTTCTAACCTAAATCACACAGCTGGTGTGCGGCTGTGCGGGTAGAAGAAAGCAGCTGTGTAGGCACAGACAGATAGAATGTAGAATCATTGAATCATTTAGGTTGGAGAAGATCCTTAAGATCACCGAGTGCATTAGCCAAACACTACCAAGTCCTACACTCGCTAAACACTGCATGTATATGTCTTTTAAGTACTCTTGGGGATGGTGACTCAACCACTGCCCTAGGCTTGATAACCTTTTCAGTGAAGAAATTTTTCCTAATATATAGGAAAACATATAGGATTGTAACAGAAGAGGCTGTTCAAAGCATTTCTGTTCAGTATGAAAGCACAGTTGTACTCTGAGTGTAGAGACTACCTGCATAGAGCAGATGAAAAGTTTTACACCACACTGCTGAATGTTAGAATGTACCAATATGTTAGAGTAAAAAATATATATTCAGATTAAAAAGAAACATTAACTGTATTGGCTTTGTTGGACGTTTCCAGAGGTGCAACTGAAATTAGCAGTCTCCTAACATATACTGTCCTTACATGCCATGCAGTGTTTCTTATTCTAAAATCTTTGGGAGGGAAAGACATCCTAAGAAAATGTATATGAATGAGAACTTTTCAGAACTAAACAGATCTGAAGAAATATTTGCTGATGTTGAAAGTGTGGCGTTCTTCTCTCTTCATCACTTACAGCTTTTATTATTCAATGGCTTTTAAAAAGGGAGCCAGGAGCAAGTCTAAGAGGGAAAGCAGAGCTGTGCTATGAAGAGAAGGGAGGAGTGAGGCAGTGCCCACCCCCATCCTGTTCATCCCTCTCCCTTGTGTTTAAGCATCTGGGGCAGGGAGAGGGAGGAAGAGAAGAGGGGCAATATACTTCCAAGATACTCCCTCTAATTCTCCAATTCTCTTGATCCCACCTCCTTTTTTTACTGCACTGTTGTATTTCCCTGTACTCTGACTTCTGCATTGGTGTTCTACTTACTAGTACTTTTTCTAATAATCTTGTATTTTCTTAATTCCTTTCTGTTCCCCTACTTTTTATCAAGAAAGGAATCTCTCCCCCCCCAGAAGGCAAGAGTTAGTGTGAGGGGAGGGGTAGTAATGTCTGCCTCACATGTTGAGGGATACATAATGTGTCTTAGAAGCAGGTTGCAGCTCATCTTGGACTTTCTCTATGCTGAGGCAGGTAGAAATATGTTAATTCTTGTGGAGAACCTGTAAGGAAGTTTCAGTACATCCCAATATCTGTCCCAGTCTGATCTGTGTTCGCAAAGGCGTACCATATGGCCTAGCAGCTACTGGTGAGGAGAAAACAGACACTTGAGAGTTTCAAATGGTGAAGGAGAGACACTGACAAAGGTATGAGGTAAAGGCTCTACTCTATGCAGCTAAACTACATCTGGATTCTGGAGGAGCTGCTAATCTATCCGTTTTGTGAATTAGAAACGCTGCAGCAGATTTTCTGCATAAGGAGAGGGCAGCTTTGCAGGCAGAAATTAATATTCTTGCTGACAAAACCTCTTCTTAGTCAGAAAGGAAACTGCAGGTGACCCAGCCCTCAATATTGAGTACAGGGAAAAAAGAGAGGAGCAGAGAAATCCAGTGCAGGGGTTTTGGTTTTGCTGCAACCTAGTGTCCAGGCTGTCCTGCTAGAAACCTTCGAATTCCTCATCTGGTTTTTCAACATCTTTGTGTCTTTTCTACTGATGCTCTGTTCAGAGCAGAGCTACAGTGCAGCTGTAACCATTAGCTGCCATCTAACCCATTTGCCTTAGCCTACCCCACACTTCACAAATAAGGTTTTGTTTTCCTCATATGTTTTCTTTGGTTTAAAACCTGGGATGTCTGGTAGGATTATCAATTCCTTTTGGTTGCAGAAGGAAGTTTCTCTCCGAGTTTTCCCAATCTCAGTGTTTTTTTATTTAAAATTTAATAGTGCAAAAAGGAAGGGGAGTAACACAGTTTAGTCCTCATTCTCATCACTGTTGATACAGTTTCCTTTCCCCTGCCAGTCTCCTGTTTTCTCTGTTTCTCAGTCAAAAGCAATAGACCTTTGCTTCCTTTTCTCTCTTTAGCAGGAAACCGAGGAATTGGGCCTGTTTATTATGAGTTCCTCTTGGCGTCCCATGCAGGGAGAGCACCCGTGTGTGGGGAGGAATGTGGGGGGGAAATTACCTACTGTAAGTGATCTGCTTTGCCTTCTTCATTATCTTTGTGACAACCGCATCATTTAAAAACATGTGTAAATATTGACAGTGTGAATGTACTGTACCAGCTGATGCCTTTCAAAGACATATAGAATGTGAAGCCTAAAATACCTGCCTGTCTATCCCTCATAAACCCTTTCCTTCTCCAGCCCATTATGTTCCATGGCTGATTTCAGTGACAAGCTCCCCCTCCGGGGCTTCCTTGGCCATGGCATTTCCATACTCTTGGCAGTTCGTTTTGCTGCTGGTGCCTCTGTGAATGACACTGGAATTCACCAGAGCTTGCTGAGGGCAGGTCACCAAGTGCAGTAGCCTGATCATGTAGAGAGCTGGGACGAGCTGAGTGAGCAGATTTCGAAATAGTGGCTGTGTTAACACTGGAAAAGGGAGTTGGCCTGGAATGCTTTAGCATTCATAACGTTAATGAATGCCTTTTTACCTCTCTAAGTGCAGTGCTTGCTGCTTTTTTCAAGAAGAAGACTCTGCAGATGCTCTTTTGTCCTTCTCCCACTTGTCCTTAGTGTTTGTCATCGATGTGTGTTGTTAATTGGAAGAAGCTGTATCTCTGCTTTGGAGACATACATACTTCTCCCATCTCAGAGTGCCCCACAATATGTTTCTGTAGCCTTCTAACCTTGGAAACAACTTGGAATGAAAAAATTTGGGAAAAATCAGAAATTTAGAGGAAGAATCAGTAGCACTGAAAAAGGCTCTCTACAGCCTATGCAAACTCAGAGGATGAAGTCTTTATAAGACCTCAGAAATCTTAAGTGATACTTCAGGTAAAGGACTGGTTACAGTTGATTTGCTTGATCACTTGTATCTTTCTGAAAAATCATTTGGGCTGGTATTTGGTGTTATTTTCATGTGGTTTTAAACTTATTTAAGTGCAGTTGTTCTGGCATAACACAGAACAACAACCATATGTTGCAGCTTTGGTGGTTTAAAAATGGGACAGCAGGAAAAACTTCTTTGCTAGGAGGGTAGGTAGAGTGGCTCTAGGACAAGTTACCAGAAACGTGGAATCTCTATGCTGGTAGATTTTTGAGACAAAACCACAGAGGGCCTGATGAAATATTCATGATAGTTCTGCTTCAGGTGAGAAACTGTATTAAGTGACCCCAGAGATTCTTTCCCAATCAACTTTGTTTTTCTTTTAATGCCTCAGTTATTCTACTTAACTGGAATAAGTTTCACCATGAAAAAAACAAACACGAACCTGTCAATTTATAATGTTCAGCCCTTGTCATAAATTCTGTAGTATCCAATTAATTAATTTTTTTAAAATTTTCTAGTGTGGTGCTGTTGGCCTCTGCGTCCCATCCAGCAGGTAAAGTGTATTGAGTTGTTCCTTTTTTAGGTTTTCATATTACCTTTTCTTTCCATGCATGTTTCTAGAGACCATACCCTGTAGAATTTTAGCCTTGGATATGACCAATAATACATTATTGTGTAGGAAGAGTGGAGAATAGTATATAACTTGGTGTAATTTGCATGATATTTCCTAATACCTTTCTTAGCTACCCTTTGCAAAGAAGCAGCACGGGACAAACAACAAAGAACAGTTTTCGAGTTGGTGTATGGTAAAGAACAAGGATTCCCTGAATCAACATGTCCTCTTCAGAGCAGTGTCTCAGCAGGCCATATAGAACTGAGTTTCCTTCTCTGCATTGCCCTCAGTGTTATGCAGAGTGTTGGTTTTGTTGCTTTCATAAGAGGTATCCCATTGCTTGAGCCCATGACAAGATTTGAAGTAGCAACAGATCAAATGGTAAAAATTGAGAACTTTGTTATTTTATGGTGGCTAATAATCCTACCATACTAGTGTTTTTATAGTTAGAAGGGTAAAGATGATCATCTGTTGCTTTCACTAGACATTTGTTCAGTCAGAAATCAAAGAAACCTTTAAAGAAACATAAATTCCCCTTTTTGCCTGGTGGTGCATATTGTGTACATAGGCACCCCCCCCCCCACAGGATAGACATAAATGTTAAGCAAAACAGTCCTCAATTTCAAAAAGTTAAGGATGGAGCTTCCTGCAGATCTGTAGAGCCTAAAGGCTAGAGAACTCCTAGAAATTGTTGCTACCAAGAGCAACCAGGGCCCAGGTTCCTGGAAATTCAAGTACTCAAGAGCTCTACTTGGACCTGGGAGAACTTAAACCTCTCAACATGCTACGTGTTAGAGAGTTCAAATGCCAAAGAGGGAAGCCACCACCATATGTGTGTGTTTCCTGTTACTTCAGTAGGAATTATGTCAAACTCTGTAATAAAAGAAGTGGATATATAATGCATGTCTGTCCACTGGCAACTGTTGCTTAAGCAGGATTTTCTGTATACTCACAGAGAATACTTTTACATCCCTTTTCCCTTTTTCAGCCAAAGGCAGGAACTGGCTAAAAGCAAGGTCAGAAAGAAATCATTAAACACACCAGAAATGTGGAAAGCATCATAAATGAAAAGTTAGCCAGCTGTAAAGGCTCAGAGGAATGTTAAACTAATAATGTTCCTGTAATTGCTTTTCCCTTGCTTGTAACAGTGTTCCACTGAGTATATTGCTTTGTCTCTCAGGTGATCTCTTCAGTGCCTTGGACTTTCCATTCCTGTACTTCTACAGGTTTCATAGCAGCTGCTGTGCCAGGTAACGTTTCTGTAACAGGACATGTAAATGTTTTCAAAATAAGAGAGCACATTGACTTCCAACCTTGACTCTCAGTTAAAATTTTTGGAGTGTGTAAAGCCTTAGTTATACTAGTTTCTGCTGGCATAAGCCAGTAAAAACGCAGAGAATATACATCTGTGCATATCTGTGGATATGCATTTGAAGGCCTGAGATTCAAATGTGCTGGAATTTTATGTTTCCTTGAGTGAGCGCATTCTGATCCAGAGAGTTCCCAGTCACCAGTAAAATAATTTTTACCAAATGTAGCAAAGCTTTGATACATAGCATCTCTCAAATGCCTCTGAAGTCGGATTAGCCCTAGTAAAACTTGCTGTTTGCAGCGATTACGAAGTATTAGTCTTCAGCAGTATATGGCTGTACATGGATTTATTTGCCTGTACATCTTGTTATTTGGCAGAATGCTTTTTTGGGGTAAAAAGGAGAGGCTTTAACAAGCATTCCATTATTTTGAGAAGCAAAAGTTCACTGCCTAATAACATAATTCTTACAGGACAACATAAATATGTTTCCTATAGATCTTAATTATCTCAAAAAAAAAAAATTATTCCATCTTTTCCCTCCAGTCTTTTGCTAAATAAAAGTATTTTCTTTTTAGAGGGGATAAAATATTTTCATGCTAACTGATGGCAAAAATATTTTCTCATTTTTAGGGTTTTTTTTTACTAGTATCCAGATTTTCCATTAAAAGGGGATATTAAGAATTATTGTTAAATAATTTCCAATGTACATAGGTTTTTGTTATGAAAGTGACTTTTTTTCAAGGGTGGACTATCCATACTGCAAGTAGCTTGTAGTTAGGTATTTTTTTGTGAAGGCAAGGTCTAACTGCAAGCACTAATGGATATCTGTCTAGCCCAGATGTTCTTCTCTTTCACTTCATTAGAATGTTAACACTTGTAACCTCCCACTTCTGTTTCCATTGTCCCACCTTCAGCAGATGTGTAGTAGATAGCACAGTGCACTACAGGAAGGGGAAAAGGAATGGTTAGATGGAGAAACAAGCATCTCAGTTGCTCTCCTACATCTTGTAATCCAGTGTCTTTGTAGACATAAAGGATTTGGAGGAAAACCTATACAATGTAAAGTAAGGGCAACTGATATAGCTAAATCTACTGCCTCTGCAGAATGTCTGAAGCATTAACAATGAGGTGCAAAATGCTCAATCTATTTAACAAAATAAATTGATATTAATTGTGGCATCAATATTTAGGTAAACATTCCCATGTTTTGCTGTTTCACTGTTTATCTTTGAATTACACTAAACATCTTCAAATCTCTCTGACTAAAAACCCTTCACAGCAGAAGATCTGAAACAAACTTAAGCCAGCTACTGGACTCTAAAAAGTCTGGGCAGTGTTGGATCATTGAACTCACTCATTTCTCAGAGTGGAATGTTCTACTGCTCAGCAATTCATCTTCTGCAACAAGTTGCTGAGTTTGGGCCTATCTTTTGTCATCAAAGCAGCATCTACTTCCTCATCTTCGGGCACAGCGGATTGTCCTTTAGGGTCTCATGTTATGGCTCAGTGTAAGAAACCCTAGTTCCTTCTACTCCTGGGAAGTTATCTTACCTTACTGTTTGGTACCTGTACTGACATGTGGCTGAGATGGAACTTTGCCACGTGTATTGAGCAGTAAACAGCACTTGGCTGATATACAGGAGACCAACATGGAAAATTCTGACCCAGGGAGCCACCATTTTCCACCCTTCCTGCTGTTGTAGAGAGGGGACCAACTGCACTGCATCACTATCCAGAACAGCATACCCTCTGCAAATACCAAGGCACTTTTTGCTTCATCACTTGTATGCTGTATTGTTCCTATCTCCTTTCCCATGCAGCTTCCCACAGTACTTTGTAATCTCTTACGCCTCACAGTAATTTTTGCCTTACATATTCTGAAGTCCTTTTTCTATTCCCTGCTTGCTGGTTTGCACTATTTCACTGGTTCACAACCAGTGGGTTGTACATAAGTCAGAAGTGAAACAAACTCCAGAACCAAGGCTTATAAGCTCTGTAAAGTCTAGTGAAATGTGGAACAGTTTCCTTTAGAGTACTCTTGGCTACATGAGCATTGGGAATTGCTGTCCGATATGACTTGAGAATCAAAATTCTCCTAATTGTCAGCAGAAAACTTTGGAGCATCCTGTTCCCAGCACTACTGAGTCATCTATTTGTTATACAGTAGAGATGTATTTGACTACCTAATTGGAATTTAGGTTTCATGAGATTTAAACAGCTTGAAAGCTTCAGGCAGAAACTTTCCACTGGATATTTTTTCAGTTCAAGACTCTGTGGAGGTTGAAGTGAGTTAGTTGCCAAACATGTGTGGTTCCTGTTGAAATTAGCATTGCTGTTATTCAGGGCCATTTCAATGCCTGAAGTTAATATTTCACCTCATGTTTCCAATAATCTCTACTTTTCTGATTATGCAAGTGCATTAGAGACCAGCCATAAGAGCGTCAGACTTACTTTACTCAGATTCTAGTCACTGACTGAACAAAACCCAAGATGTACCGGACATAATGTAAGCTCCTTGTCCACCAGCTTTCTTTACCCAAATGGGATTAATACTGCAGTTCTGAAAACCAAGGTGCCTGTAAAAGGTTGTTTAGTTGAAATTAAAAGACTTTATTAACAAGCTTTCCCTATCCCTTGCAGTGGACTGTTGGGATTCTTTCTGATGTTGCACACAGCAAAGCTAAAAAGCAGCACAACCTCAGGGCAATATGCAGCCTGGAGTTTCCTTGCAAAGGTAAGAGACCCTCACAGAAACACAGTGGATCTAGGCTTCTCCCAGGAGAACTGAGGAATTTCTGCATCTCTCTAGTTTCCCTTGCTATTCCTACTTGACACTCCTAGGGCCTGTCTGTGCAACCTGCATGTAGAGTTGAGACAACAAATATCAAGTGCATAATACACCAAGATCATTAGCTGAGATGAAATACTGTGTATAAACTGAGCATAGTGCTTTCCAAAGCAATCTATACTTTCCAAAGGTGTTTTAGAGAAGAATACTCCTTCTGAAGTGGGTGCACCAGCTGTTACAGTTTGCAGCGTGCCTTACCTGAACCAAGAGTTAAAACTAGTTCCCTGAAGTTCAGTACCAGAATTTCCATTGATTTTGAAGCAGGGAGAGCTGTGGGTGTCATTTGCCTTAACATTAACAAGGCTTTTGACAGTATGTCCCACAATATTCTTTTATCTAAATTAGATTGTTACAGTCTGGATGGACAGACAACCAGATGGATAAAAAAAAAATGATGATCAGGTTCAGAAGGTGAAGGTTAATGATTCCTACTGTAACTGGAGGCTTGCGACAACCGGAGTGGTGCAGTGGTCTTCCTGGGACCCTTCCTGTTTAGGATCTTTATTGAAGAATCAGAGGTGATAGAGTGCACTCAGGTTTGCAGTGGACACTAAATTAGAAGGACCAGTCAATAGTGCTGGAGGACAAGGTTGCCATCCAGAGGGATCTGGACAGGCTAGTGGAATGGGCTAACAGAAATCTTAGAAAATTCCTCAGGTACAGATGTGAAGCCCTGCACTTGGGAAGGAAGAGCACCTGGCAATAATACAGCCTGGGACTGCACAGCTGGTAAGCAGCTCTATGGAAAAGGACTTGGGGATTTTGGTAGACAGCAAGCTGGACAAGATCCAGCAGTGTGCCCTGGCAGCTAAGAAGGCCAGAAGGATCCTGGGTTCTACTTAGAGTAGCATAGACAGTAAATTCATGGAAGTGATCATGCCCCTCTACTCAGCACTTGTTAGACCACGTATGGAATAGGGAGCCTTGTTTTAGGCACCTCAGTATAGAAGAGACATTGATAAATGGAGTGACTTTAGCAAAGAGCTGCCAAGAAAGCCAGGGGACTGGAGCACTTGCCTTTAGGGGAGTTGCTGCTGGACCAGGCTTGTTCATCCTGGAAGAGGGACAACTCTGGGAGCACCTAACAAATAGCAGCCACCCAGTAGCTATGGAGAAATTATCAAGAAGACAGATCCAGACTATTCACAGTGGTGCTTAGGGGTCTGTGTGTAAGATAAAAATAGGGGTTCAGACTGGGTATAAGGAAAAATTATTTCACCCCAAGGACAAATCAGGTAAGGGCAGAAGTTGCCCAGGAAGGCTGTGCAGTTTCCGTCTTTGAAGGTTTTCAAGACCCAGCTGGATAAAGCCCAGAGCAACCCAGTCTGACCTCCTGAGGTCCATTCCTGCTGGAATTATCCTATGATCTGAGGATTTGGGGTCTGGCTGTACTTGATTTAAGTTATTAACAGCTGATTTGTTAAATTATTGGTGATGAATGCAGTCAGAAGAGCTTGTCAGACTCCTTTTCTCTGGTTAGATTTTACTTAGTTTCATCACTCTCAGCTAGGTCATCTGAAAACCACAACCTTCCTATGCGGTTTGTGATCACAACTTTCCTACTACAGTGAAATGAAGCTGTTGCCTTACAAAAAAAAAAAGTAGACTTGCATAATATGCTTGTTTAGAAACTGTAGTCAAATGAGTCTGGTTTTTCTGAGGATAACAAGAAGGGAGTGATATGGCTTGCTTTGTGCTTTGCAAGCTGTTCCACACTGTACAAGTCTCACCAGTTTGAATTTCTTCCAAACATTCTGACTGTGCAGATTTCAGTACTTTAGCTTTCTTCTCTCTTCTTGGTAGCAAGTCAACTGATCTAAAACTTGCTCATGAGTCTTTTTTTTTTTTTTTTAACATTCTGAGTTGGAGATGGGAATAGCTACCTCTGCTAGTGGGTGTGGGTGTTGTGTGTGAATGAGGGTAAATGGTTCTACATGTGGTATTTATGACCTATCTGAAAAAACTGCAGGCAAAGATGTGTTGTGAAATATATTTTAAGCAGATTTGGGTCCTTCCCAGCTGAAGTGGATCAGAGCCACAAAGTCTGGACTGGATCAAAGCTTTCCCAGAGTTCAAGGGTTTCTAGATTTGTGGGGGTTTGGCTAACTCTAGACATAAGCTAGACAAAGTTTGTTCTAGCCACTGTTGTCAATGAAATTATGTGCCTTTATAGGAACTAAAAATTTGTCCCTATGTCACTATGAGGATATAATCTGTTTTTCAACCTTAAAAGTGCGTACTTTTTAACATGCATGGTTTAATTATCTTGTTTAGGAAGGTTTTTGTAACATAGCACATTAATCCTTTTCCTTTTGTTGTAGCTTCTAACTGAGTGTTCAAAATATGTTTTGTCTTGAGTTTAAAGAGGGGAAGAAGTAATGAAGACATGAGATTTGTCTGTAGCACTAATAATTTTATCAAAACTAGCAGTTTCCCTATGTCTTTCACTACTGTTTTAAAGCTTTCTGTAAGGTTCTGCCATATCTATCTGGGGATGCCTGAGGAGCATGAAGGAACTGCTGCTACAAGTACTGAAATGCAGCTGATTTGGGATTAGAAGTCAGTGAATGCTTGAAAAATTCAGAAACACTGTACATCAGTTTTAGAAGGGATCAGAAGACGCTCCAGAGACAGACACAGATAGGCAGAAAGCAAGAGCTGAACTGGAGCTTGCCTGAAGGGTTGAGGCTGATCTCTCAGCTCCTACAAAATTCTCCCAAGGAACCTTCTATCTATAAGGAACTATAAATTTACATATGGGGTAGTTAAGAAGAGTCCTATCTGTATGATCATTAATGCTGCTTCCTGCAGGTGTCTGAAAGTGTTAGAACTATGTACTAATCCAACTCTGCACTGCACGGGTATGAGAGTTGTGTCAATCACATCTTAAATGATCATAAGTGCGGAAAAGCAGTATTTAACTAGCACTATAAAAATCTGTTTAAATCAAAGTGTGTGGCTCCTGTGAAAAAAAAAAACAACCAAAAAAAAGAAATAAAATTAATGTGGGTGAAGAATAAAGGTAGAAAGTATTTGAGTCTGGACTTGCAGAATGGTATTCAGTGAAAAAAAAAGAACACCTCTGGTCACGACAACAGCTTTGCCTTCCCACATGAGCATTTTTCTTGGATTGAGTAGTGCCCTAGATCATCCTCTTAATCTCTCAGACTGACTGGAGTTTTCACCAGCAGTTGGAAAGGAGCAGCACTAGAGGCCAGAATATGTTTATCTTGCAAATGAGCCAAGAAAGGAGAATGCTGTAGTCCTCAGACAGCAGCACAGGCCTCTAGGGAGGTGCAGAGAATCGGAAAATCTGTTTTCCATGTGGATGCTTTGTACCTATCTGACTGATGAGCTGGGGCTGAGATCGTTGCCACCGCTTCATTTCCAATGAACTAACCATGAGATCTGATCAGGCCTGCTTTGCACATTCAAGGAGACATTCTTTGTGAAGCCCACATATTTGGCCTCCTCCCCTCTAATTTTTCATTCACTTATAAATTGGAGCTGGGTCGTAACTCGTTTTTATGATACTTACTTTGGCTGAGGCAACTTAATCAATGTATGAGGTTTTTAAATTCTTTCCTGTAATGATTTCTGACAGCTTTCATGTCAGAGCATTGCTTTGTGCAGAAACAGACGAAGCACAGATTTCATCTGTGTATGTAGTCCAGTGTGGTATTTATAGTGACAAATGCTTTCTGCACTTTTTCTGTGAGAGCAAACTGTGTGTGTGTTAGTCATATCTGTATGAATTCGTGAGAAATGCCAAAAAGAATCACTGAAGTGATCTGTATAACAAAAAAAAAAAAAACTTTTAGGAGGTCCAAGAAATATTAAATGCTTTGTCATAGCCTTGCACAGATTTAATCCCCAGAAGAGCAAGGATTTGAAGCTGTACTTAGATTTCTTGTTTTAATTTGAGAGCAGTGCTGGTATCATGGGTCATGCACTGGAAAGAAAAACTGGAGATGCTCATATACACAGACAGAAGCATCTGGTGAGAACACTAATGAGCTCTAACAGTGCTGTCAGTGAGTTTGTTTTGATTAAGTCTGCCAATCTATATCTGGTGATGAAGCCTGTTAGGGCCTCTAAAAGTTAAGTAGCAGAAATAATTTAAATAATAAATAGAATGGAAAAATTCAGCGAGATACTGGTTACTTATAAATTCATATTGGTATATCATGTTTAATATAATCCTAATAAACTTATAGTAGGGAATTCAGCTTGTTCTCAGTAGGAATCTATTGAGGCAACTTGTTAAAAAGAGGAAGAACAAATGAGAAAATCAGTGGATTTGGGATTCTCTCTTTCTTCCTCATCTGAAGAAACAAAATTGAATAACTGAAATCAAGTTGCATTGAGCTTTACACTGGTTTTCTTATGCATTATTTGGAAGAAAATTCAGATTAATCAGATCAAGAGTATGCAACTCTTTTCTATATGACCATCCCAGGCACTGTTATGTAATCTGTAGTTTATCGGAACATGTTGGAGGCTCCCTAATACATAAAACTATCCCCTGGCAGCTGCTTTGGTTCCTTGTTTGTTAACTTTAGACGTGTTTGCCCCAGGTCATCCTGTGTTTAATGCTGGCTGCCAGACGTTGCAAAAGCAATTTTGCAGGAGTGTCTGAAAGCGTATCTCATCTATGGGTCCTGTGTACCTAACTGTAGCCCACTATACTTATACCCCAGCAGTTTTAGTCTTCCCCCAAAATATATAACGGCTATTCAGAATCCCTTCTGCTATTCAGAATGACTCCTGGTGTCTTGGATTTTATATTTTGTGTCTGTGTGTCTGCTTCTTTGGTCCCCATGGTGCCTTGAAGAAAATGGATATGCTAGATCCCTCTTCATGTCAGTGCAAACAAAAAGGATAAT